GGTCGACTCTGAGGATCCCCGACGCCGCCGGCGAAGGAGTTGATGTTCAACAAGATGATTCCCTCCGTCTCCGGCGGAAGATCTCTGCGGACACCGTCCGCGATGACGTGCACGTGCTGGTTCATCCCCGCGCACGAGTGCTCGACAAAGTCCCGCGCGCCGAAGAGGCCGTACAGAATCTTGTTCGTCGTCGCGCTGAAAAATAAGTGCGGTCGGATGTTCCGCGTCCTGTGGAACCGCAACGCCGCCTGCGCGTCGACGCCGATGCCGAGGTAGTTTTGAAACACGAGCGTCTTCGCGCCGCCGCCGCCGCCGCCGCCGCCGCCGCCACCGGTCACCGCGCCGTGCACGGACCCGTCGACGACGGAACCGCTCTCGCCGGAGCCGCTCGGCGCGGGCGCCGGTAACACCTCCGTCCCCGGCCGATGGCGCCGTCGCTTCTTCGGCGACGGCGGCGGGCCTTCCGGGTCCGCGGGGATGATCCCGACCTCCCACCGGTCCAAAACCGCGGGGTGCGCTTCCTGTATCTGCACGAGGAGTTCGGACACGAGGTCGTTGTAGTACCCGCCGCCCCACCCCAACACCCGCGCGAGGTCGTTCCCGGTCCCGAGCGGCAAGATCCCCACTGGCGGCTTCGGGTCAATCTCCACGAGCTCCTCCAGCGCTTGCAGGATCCACGCGACGGTGCCGTCGCCGCCGCACACCATGATACGCAGCTTCGGTAAGTTGCTGAATAAGCGCAGCGCGAACTTCGGGTCCGTCTTGTGCAGATCTACGACTTGAAGCGGGTTCAAATTTTGTTTCAGCTGGCTCGTGAGGTACCCGCCGAGCTGCCCGCCGCTTCGCGAGTTCACGAACACCAACAGAGGGCTCGCGTCGTCGGGCAAGAAGCTCGGGTCGATGCTTATGATCGGATGGTTGTCCCCACCGTTCGCGGTGTGCCTGGAGATCTTCCGCATGACTTTCCTCGTCACGCGCGTTATCGGCGATCGCAGCGGCGCCTCGTGGACGCACTCGGGCGGCAGGATCAACGCGCGGTGCTTCGACTCTTGAAGCATGAGGTACCACCCGCGCTGGCCGCGTCGCCACCTCTGGTACTTCCCGACGACCCAGTGCGTGGACATCAACACGATCACGAGCGTCACCGCGAGCCGGTACCACTGCTGCGCGGTGAGGTTGATGCGAAACGCGTACTGCCCGAACGGCAGGTCGTCCACGAGCTTCGTCACGTTGAGCACCCAGCCGCGTATCTCGACGTCGCGCGGTAACGCCGCGCGCTCGGCGACGCTCTTGAGGTTCACGAGCCACCGGTCGCTGCTCAGCGTCGTCGGGTCCCGGTCCGGCGTCGGGTCGAGCGCCTCCGCGCCGGGGACGGGCGCGTCCGCCTCCGCGGTCGTTTCAACTGTGCTCCACAGGCTGTGGTCGTCGCCGACGCCGACGCCTCCGTTCCTGAACGCGGCCTCGTACGCGTCGAAATCGTCGTCGTCGTACGCGCCGGAGACGGTGGGGTCGTCCATGTCGTCCCCGGACCCGGGGGACCGGTACGACGGCGTCTCGAGGCCCGCCATGCGGGTGCGTCGGGCGCCCCGAGGTTTGAGCGCCCTCCTCGCGGAATCTCAACGAACAACTGCCAGAGCTTTTTCCGCCCGTAAAAGTGAGTGCGTTGTCAAACCCCGAGCGCCCAGCGCTCGGTCTTCCAAGACGTCTCGCGCGCGCAGAGCAGCCATGGCGGCGGCCGCGCTCGTGGGTAACGCGCTCGTAAATGCGCGAGCGCGCGCGTGCGCCACGTCTCGCGCGGGGAAACCCGCGTGCGTCGCGGCGACGCGTCGTGCGCTTTTCCAGCCGCCGCGATTCCGACACGAGAGCGCGTCGTCGCGCGCGCGAAACGCGCGCGGCGTTCGCGGGTTTCACGTTTCGTCCCTCCTCCGCGCGGCCGCGTCTGAGACCGGGGAGGCGCCCGCCGCGTCCGGTGAAGACGCGAGACAGCGGGAAGCCGTCGACGTCGCGGACGACGACGACGACGACGACGACGACGACGACGAATCGTCGACCGCCGCCGATTCCGAGGAAAAGACGACGACGTCCTGGACCGACCTCGGCCTCCCGAAGAACCTCGTCGCCGCGCTTCAGCGCGTCGGGTTCGACGAACCGTCCGCGCCGCAAGTCGCCGCGATACCGCGGCTGATGCGAGGCGAGAACGTCGCGCTGCAGGCGCACACCGGGTCGGGAAAGACGATGGCGTACCTCCTCCCCGCGCTCACGGCGGCGGCGGCGGAAGAAGAGCTCCCGGCGAAGGAGCGGAGCGAGGCTGTCCAGCTGCTCGTCGTCGTCCCGTCCCAGGAGCTCGCGATGCAGATCGTCCGGCAGATAGAGAGACTGTTGGGGGACTACGGCAGAGCCATAACGCAGCAGTGCATCGGCGGCGCGAACGTGCGAAGGCAAGAGGAGGCGATTCGCGCGAAGAAACCTTTGATCGTGGTCGGAACCCCCGGAAGGCTCGCGGAGCTGTCGCGGACGGGGATCCTGCGCACGCACGGCGTGAAGTGCCTCGTCATCGACGAAGCGGACGACCTCCTCGCGTCCAACTTCCGAAGAGACATGGCGCGCATAACCGACCACACCGGTAAGGGCGTCTTGGGCGGCAGGCAAACCGTCATCGTCAGCGCGACGCTGCGACGCGAGACGCTGGACCAGTACGGGTACATGGCCCCGGACCTCGTGCACGTCGTCGCGGGGCGGGCCGCGGTCGCGAGGGAAGATTCCGTCGCCGCGGTCGCGGCGGCGAAGAACTCGAACTCGGACTCGAACTCGAACTCGAACTCGAACTCGAGAGAGGCAACGGACGACGAGGTGGAGACGACGAACGCGTCGCTGCCGCCGCAGTTGGAGCATTACTCCGTCGTCGCGGAGCGCGGGAAGAAGGTCGACCGGCTGCGCCGCGCGATCCACGCGACGGGCGCGGAGCGCGCGCTCGTGTTCTTGAACTTCGGGCACCGGCTCTCGGAGACGAGGGATAAGCTCGCGACGCGAGGGATGGAGTGTGGGGTGTTACACGGCGGCATGAACAAGCTCGAACGCGCGGCGGAGCTCGCGGCGTTTCGCCGAGGCGATTTCCGCGCGCTCCTCGTCTCCGACCTCGCCGCGCGGGGCATCGACGTCCCGGAGATCGACGCGGTGTTCAACCTCGAGCTCCCGACGGACGCGACGCATTACGTCCACAGAGCGGGAAGAACCGGAAGGATGGGCGCGAGCGGGATCGTCGTCTCCATCGCGGAAGAGAGAGAGGCGTTCGTGTTGCCGAAGCTCGCGCGGTCGCTCGGCGTCGAAATTCTCGCCGCCGACCTTCAGAAGGGAAGGGTCGTGCCCGACCGCGGGAACAAGCCGACGCCGAGAAAGGAGCACGCGGAGAGGGCTTCGAGGGCTTCTTCGTCGAGGTCGAGCGCGGGTGGAAGAGGAGGAGGACGAGGTGGTCGCGGGGGGGATCGCGGGGGAGGCGGCGGCGGCGGCGGCGGGCATTACACGCCCAAGGGAAAGCCGCGTCGACGCGAGCGAAACGCCGCGGCGTGACGCGTCGTCGTCGTTCGACCGTTTAGTGAGTGCACTTCTCTTTATTAAAATACTTGATACTCACACCCACCACACCCTCTGCTTTGCGTTCGTTCGCTCGCGACGTTTAGTAGTACACGTTGAACGAGTCGATCACGGTCTGAAGACGGTCCTTCATCTTCGGCCATCTTCGCTCGCTCGAGCCGGTCGTGAGCGTGTAAAACTTCCCTTGCGTGATCGTCACGATCGTCAGCGCGTGCCTCTCGTACTGGTTGCTCTTCGTGACGTACTCCAGGAAGTAGTACAGGTGACCGTCCTTGTCCTTCCTCTGCGCGGTCTTGAGAACCTTCGCCTGCGCGCCCGGAACCGCGAGCGCCTTGCCGACCAAGGTATTCGCGACCTCGTCCGGGGACCCGATGTCCGTGAGCGACTCGCGCTGCGTCGGGTAGATGTTCAGCGCGACGGACTCGAGGGGCTCGATGACGTCCTTATACACCGCGTCTTGGCCGTCGACGGAGATCTCCTGCCACCCGACCGGGTAGTAGAACTGGTACCCGTCCCTGGTGTCCTTCACGACGGAGAATCCCGACAGCGCGTGCGCGGGCTTCGCGTTCGTCAGAAGCGACGCGGAGAGCGCGGCGGTGGAGAGGACGGCCTGGCGCCTCGTCGCGTTCGCGCCCTCGGTGGCGGACGCGTGGACGATGGTGGAGACGCGGCGCGTCGCCTTGGACGCCTTCGCGGTGGTCGCGACGCGCGTGTGCGCGAACGCGGCGGATTGCGTGCTGCGCGGCGACGATCGCGGAAGTTTCGATGGGAGGAGAGGCGAGGTCAGCGACGCGCGCGGGGGGCGCGGAGGCGATCGACGCGACGCCGTCGCGGGCGCGATCGCGATGCGGAGGGAACGGCGCGCACCACGCCTGCATGATCGGCGACGGGGAGAGGCTTCGCGTGCGGCGCGTGTCTCGGGAGTGACGTCGACGCGGGGTTTATCCACTCAAGAGCACCGGACAACGGGACTGCCAGTTCATCGGTGCGTCTGACCCGGCGCTTCGGCCGGCTGAGCCAGGGCTCGGCAGAGGCGCTCGCTCGCTTTGAAAAAGTTCGTGCAGCCGCCGTGGAAAGGTCGCAGACTTCACGCGCGCGCGCGAGCAGCGACGGCGCGGCAGAGCTCGTTCCCGACACGATCTCTTCGCGGAGGCGACGGATACGAGGTCCATCGTTTCGACCGCGCGGCGTCGTTCGATCGTTTCGCGTCAGGACGCGCGCTCGAGCGACGCGAAGCTGCGGGAATCTCTCCATCAAGATCGCGCGCGAAACGATCGGACGCGAGGCATCGACGTGAGGCGTCGCCGACCTTTTTAAACCCTACGCGATCGCGGCGATGGATCCGATGTCGAACGCGCCCGCGGGCGCGCCGACATCCATGGACGGGTGGGGAAGCATCGTCGCCGCGGCGTCGCCGCCTGCGAAGCGCGAGCGCGACGACGACGCGGCGGATCCGAACCGCGACGACGCTCGCGACGGTGACGACGAGGCGAGGCCCGAACGCGAGGCGAGCGTTCGCGCGCCCGCCGCGGACGCGCCCGCGGCGAAGAAACCCAAACCGGACGCGACCGACGCCCCGCCCGACGTCCCGATGGACGACGACGACGAGGCCGGGGACGTGAAGCTCTTCGCCGCGCGCCTTCGACCGGGGACGCTGAAGCACACGTGCTTCGTGCTCCTGCAGCGCGCGCTGGGGGAGGGACTCGAGACGAACGAGATTCTCGAGAAGGCGACGGCGGAGGATCTGTACGTCGGGAAGAACCGGAACGTCCTCACGACGACGCTGTCGCACGAGCCGTGGTTCGTGCACCGACCGGACGACAAGACGAGGTGGTGCCTGCGATCGTTCGTGGAAGGGGGGCCGGAGGCGGCGGCGGCGGCGACGGCGGCGGTGGCTGGCTCGGACCCGAACGCGCCGAAGCGAAAACCGCCGGCGCCAAAGCCGCCGAAGGATCCCGCGGAGGTGGAGGCGCGCGCGCAGGCGAAAGTCGCGGCCGCCGCGGCGAAGGCGAAAGCGGTGACGGAGAAGGCGCAGTTGAGATCGCTCGAGCTCGCGGAGAAGGCGCAGCTCAAGGCTGAGAGCCAGCTGGCGTTGTCGCTGACGAAGGGCACCGCGGAGAAGATAAAACGCGCGCAAAAGGCTGTGGAGCAGGAGGAGGCGAAACTGGAGAAGATGCGCGCCGCGAGAGACGCCGCGGAGGCCAAGGCGGTCAAAGCTGGCGTATCTCCCAGCGATTTCGAGAAGATGATCGCCGCGGAGATGAAGAAGGCGAGCGGGAAGGGCGGCAAGGGAAAGGGCGGCGGCGGCGGCGGCGGCGGCACGCCGACGAAAGGGAAGCCTGGTCCGGGGCAAGGCGGCCCGGGGAAGTCCGCGGCGGAGATCCTGAGGGAGCCGAACGCGCCCACCGGGGAGCTCCCGCCGCGACTGCAAGTCTTCAACGGCGATTCCTCGGACCGGCACGCGCTGATGAAGTGGAAGAAGGAGGTTGAAAAGTTCAAAGACGGCGTCGACCGCGCGAAGGACGCGTACGTCGCGAAACGACGCAAGGCGCTCAAAGCTGAGGCCGCGAAGGAAGGCGCCGCGACCGCGAAGCTCGTCGCGGACGCCGTGAAGCACTTCAACGCGTTCAACGACGCTGAGGCGGGGCTGTTACGCGCGAAGAAAATCTTGCTCGAGACGAACGAACGCGGGGTCGAGCTCGAGATGATTTTGAAGGAGAGAGCCGAGCTCGGGAAGGGGGCGCAGACCCCGGAGAGCGCGCGCAGGATGGCGGAGATCGACATCAAGCTCGCGCTCATCGACGGGAAGAAGGTCACGGAGTTTAAAGCGCAGGGGGAGAAGGAAATCGCGAAAGAGAAGGCGAAGATCGAACGACTCGCGAAGATGCAAGCGGAGAAAGCGGAACGCGACCGGATCAAAGAAGAAGAGAAAGCGCAGCGCGCCGCGGCGAGGGAAGCGGAGCGCTTAGAGCGCGAGAAGAAGAAAGAGGACGAGCGCCTCGCGAAGGAGCGCGCGATGAAGTATCCGATCGACGATGACCTCCTGAGAGCGGAGTTCGAGGAAGAGGCTGCGAAGAAGAACGTCTCCGTGGACGAGCTGTACCCGCCGCTGCCGACGCCGAAGCCCGTGGAGCACGGCGTGGAAATGGCGGACGAGGCCGCGCTGACGGATTTCCTGCACGTCTTCGGCGAGACCCTGGGCGCGCCCTTGCGAGGCGGAGACTCGCACAAGGACCGCGTCACGGTGAAGAAGGTGAAAGACCTGATCGTCGCGTGCGGGGAGGACCTCGAGAGTCTGTACAACGTCCTCCTCGACGGCGCGATGGAGATCGCGGTGATCGGGAAAGGACGCAACGCCGCGAAGTGGCGACGCGTTCTCGGGGACGCGACGTGGCCGGAGGTTGTGCGAAGAGTCTTGGAGAAGAAGCACGCGGGCGGGCACGGGGTCGCGGCTCTCGGGAAAAAGGCGTGGGCGAACCTGAGCGTGCACGAGCACGTGCTCGCGCTCCGCGGGCTGTCCGACCTCGCGCTCGGAAGCGAGGCCGTCCGGAGCATCATCGACTGGAGGCTCGAAGAGGCTGCGAAGTTACGGACCGCGCGGATCGAGGAGCGCAACGCGGACGCGGCGCGAAGGCGCGCGATTGAGAACAAAGCGAAGGAGAAGCGCATCGCGATCAGGGAGAAAGCCGCGGCGAAACGCAAAGCGGAGCGCGAGGCGAAGCGCCTCGCGCGCGAAGCCGCGCTCGCGGCGGGGAAGGAAGTCGATCCCGAGGAAGAGGAAGATGAAGATGAAGAGAACAACGACGACGACGACGACGGCGACGTGGACATGGCGGACGCGGACGACGACGACGTCAAGCAGGAGGAGCCCGAGGTCAAGGAAGAAAAGCCAAAGCCGAAGCTGACGTTCGTGATCAAGAAGCAAGAGCCGAGGGCGCCGTCCCCGGAGCCGTGCTTCGACCTCCCAAAACATTTAATCGAGTACGAAGGGCACCCGGACGACCGCAAGGCGCTCATGGCGTGGCGCGCGGAGCATAACCGCGTCGCCGAGAAGCTCGCAAACGATAGGCGCGAGTACGAGAAACGGAAACGCTCCGAGCTGAGGAAGGAACAGGAGAAGGAGCGCATGGAGCGGCAGAGGATCGAAGACGAGGAAGCGGCGAAGATCGCCGAGGAGGAGGCGAAAGAGAAGGCGAAAGAACGCGAGCTACGGAAGAAGGAGACGACGCGCATGGCGGAAGACGCCGCCGTCGCCGTGAGAGTCCACAAGCTCGGCGTGGACCGCGACCATCGCTCGTACTGGTGGGGCATCGGCGGCTCGAAAGCCGCGGTGTACGTCGAGGATATCCAAGGGCACTGGTTCGTCCTCGACACGCGCGATGAGATCGACGACCTCGTCGAAGCGCTTCACTCGTGGGGCACGAAGGAGAAGAAGCTCAAGGCGGAGCTCGCGCGACGGTCGCACACGATTGCGGCGGAGTTCAGGAAGCAAGCGCGAGAGAGAGAAGACGCGGAGGCGGACTCCGCCCGCCGCGCCGCGAGCGGGTATTCCCAGCGCGAGCGCGGTAAGGAAGTCATCTCGCCGCCGCCCGGAAGAGGCCCGAACGCGTCGTTCGACGAGGCTGTTCCCGTCGCGACGGCGAAGCGGACGATGGAGGTGCTCTGCGGCGCCGCGGAGGAGGCGGCGATCGCGCGCGAGCCCGAGCTCGAGACCAAGCTCAGGGAGGACTGGCGCGCGTTCAAGACCCGAGTGCGGACGACGTACGACAAAGATCTCGTCGCCGGGCTGCTGTTGCAGCTCGAGGAGAACTTGTACGCGATCCAAAAAGCGGAGTTCATGAAGAAGGAGGAGAGGGAAGCGCGCGAGGAAGCGAAAGCGAACGGGGAGACGTACGAGAGCGAATCCAGCGACGGCGAGGATTTCTACGACGACGACGACGAGTTCTGGGGGAACGAGGAAGCGCACGAGACGAACGAGGATCTGATCGCGCGCACGGGGCTGATTTACCCCATCTGGCGGTCCAAGGCCGAGCGCGCGAAGTGGCGCGAGGACGCGCACGAGTTCCAGACCGGCGCCGCGGTCGCCTTCGCGGCCGCCGTGCTCGACGACACCGCGGGGGCGTTTCTCCGCGCCGTCGTAGCGGCGAAGACGAACCCCTGAGGGTGACGACACGACGACCGAATTATTTTTTAATACGATGCTACGAGAGTATTCGTTATTGCTGCGTACGTCTCGTGTCCTTAACAACGCGGCTATATCTTCTACGTTATTCCGGAAGAACGTTCTAATCCGACTCCGCGCATCCGCAGAGAAGCCGCTTCCGTTTGCGTGCACATGTACATTCAGACAGACCCTGACGGGGACGTGGAGTAGTACCCATCGCTCGGCGGCGGAGGGATACACGCGTGCTCCTCCCCCGGAACTTTCGCGGCGACGTACCGGCCGTCCGGGGAGAGCTCGAACATCCACGCGTGGTCGCGCAGGAACTCGGCGTAATTCTCCGGCACCGTGAGCGGCTTCTCGCACAGCGTCTCGACGCCGTCCTTCCCGAGGAGCTTCACCCACGGCGCGCCCTCGATCGCTTTCGCGCACAGAAAGTCGTGCAGCTTCGAGACGTACACCTCGCGCGCGCCGCGGAACCCGGCGCCGTTGAACCCGGGCGCGGGGTTCTTCTTCACCGGCTTTTCAAACCGCGGCGCGGCGTGCTTGCCTCGACGCGCGCCGCTGGGGGGGAGCCCGTTGCTTCGCGCGCCGCCGCCGCCGCTCGGGGGGCTGAAACGCTCGCTCGAGCGACGGTTCGGGGGTTGGTACGCGCCGCCGCCGGAGGGCGGCGACGCGGACGCCCGGCCGCCGAAATCGTGCCCGCGCGCGCCGTCCGGGGCGCTGCGACTCAAGTTTCGCCGCGCGATGAGGCTTCCGGGGGAGGTTCCCGCGACGACGTTCGACGGCGTCAACGCTTCATCGTCTTCGCCCGGGAACAAAACGTCCGGGAGCTTACTTATGAGATCCTCCACGCCCGCGGTCGTGGCCTCGCGCGGCGCGTGCTCCGCGATCGTCGTCGCGCTCGCGCACGCGCCGCCGAGGACGACCGCGTCGTCCCCGCGTCGTTTCGACCGGGGCGACGCCGGCGTCTGACGCGTCTCCGTCGAGCGGAGCGAATCGGACGAGCCTTTCTTGCTCGCCTTGACGGCCGCCGCGGTGGATAACGTCGCCATCGCGTGCGTTAGGTTACTTCTCAGAGCCACTGACCTTCGTCCTGGGGTGTGTTGTCGTTTCCTTGCGGTGCCTGCGGTTCCTTTGGCGTGACCGACGCGACGTCGCCTTTGATCCCAGCGATCTCGACGGCGAGCTTGTAAATCTCCGCCTGGTAGTTCGCGACGACCTCTTTGTTCTCTTTCACCGCGTCTTCGTACTCCTTATCCGGGCCGGACTCGTCGAGCGCGGTCTGAAGCTCTTGGTTCGATCGCTCTAAGTGTTTCACCGCGTTCGTCAGGCGCGCCTTCTCTTGCTCTAACGCCGCGAGGTGCTCGTTGTCTTCTGGTAATCCGAATGTGTTTTCGCTCTGGGTCGTCATTCGGCCTAGTTCTCGGACGTCATCTTCTGAGATCGTCCGTGCGTGCTGTCTATACGTGTGCTAATTGTCCAAGGTCCTACTAGGGATTTAGAGGGTGGGGAGCGTAGGCGAGGACGCGTCAGTTTCGGGCGCCGGGACGTCGGAATCGGTGCGCGCGGCGTCGCGCGAGGCGCGCGACCGTTCGTTGCCGTGTGTGGTATCCACGCACCCCGCGACTTTTCGAACTTTTCAAAAGTCGGATATCGATGCTCACGCGTTCGCGCTTCAAACGGCGTGGGGGTCTACATGGAAGTCATCTTCGCGCTCGTCGAGCGGCTTCGATGGCGAGGTTGAATTTTCCGCGTGAATCGATTCGCGCGTGTCGCGTGCGTCGTGGAGAGAGCGTCGCGTTCAAACATCTTACGAAGGATACGCGTTCGCGCGAAAAGGGTGAAGGGACACGTCACTCTGATCGCCGATTGGCCGAATTCTTCTGACTGTTTGCACTGTGGAGGGGCACCTTCGTACGACGTGTCGCGCGAAACCCGATCGCCGCGTCACGCGCTTCCGATAGGGTAGTGCCGACACTTTCCACGCCGCATCCGGCGCGCCTACCGCACGCCCTCGGCTCAAGAGCACCCGCCGCCTTCGCCCACGCACACGAACAGTCATCATGTTCGCGCTCTCGACCGCCTCGACCGCGGCGCTGGCCCCCCGCGCGCGCGCGACCGCGATGCACCGCCGCGGAGGCGCCCGCCACGTCGTCTCCGCGACGACGACGCCGTCGAACGCCCCCGCGACGACCGCGTCCGACTCGATCAGAGCGAAAGCGTCGAAGACCGCGGCCGCGCTGATGCTCTCCGCGGCGATCGCGCTGTCGCACCCGTCCACCGCGCACGCGCTCGGCGGCGGGTTCAAGAGCAACAACGACGTGTACGCGCAGATGATGAAAGAGATGGAGGAGCAGAGGAAAGCCGAAGGCACGAAGACGCTCAGCGCGGCGGACATGTACGACGAACAGGGCGGCGCGTGCGGCGAGGGGTACGAGCTCGTCGTGAGGAAAGTCCTCGGCGCGTCCTGCGAGTGCGTCGCGGACTCGTGCAAGGATGGCGCGGCGGAAGGGTCGAGGGAGGTGCGGACGGAAGCGGAGCGGAGCTTCGGGAAGCAAGAAGACGCGCCCGAGGCTGGAAGCTCCGGGATCGTCTTCACGTTTCAAAACAAAGAGTGAGCGCGGAGAGGGGAACGAAGCGCGGCGGCGACCTCGCGAGGAAGAGACGCGCGCGGGATGTGCTGTATGGTTATGTCGCGCGATGGTCTACTGTACTCTCGACGACGCGCGTCGCCGTGTCAAACGAACGGGTCATCGATCAACTCGCCCAACTCGCACGCGGGTCGTCGCTCGAGAGGGGGAAACGCCGCTCTCCGTCGCTCACTTCCCCGCGCCCTCGAGCGCCCGCGCGAACGCGTCGACGTCGCCCGCACGCGCCGCCTCGGATAATGCCGCCTCCGTCTCCGGCGTCATCGACCCCTGCGCGCCCGCCGCCGCCGCGATGAGCCGCCCTCCGGGCCCGGGCGCGCCGACCCACCCGACGCGCGCGCGCGTCGCGTCTTTCCCTTTCCCGCGGGCGATCACGACAGAAAACGGCTCGATCTCGACCGTTAGCGATGACGACGTGCCCTTCATCGCCCTCGCAAACGCGAGAGACGCGATCGTACGGTACGCGTCCGCTAACGCGGCGCCGACGGCGAACTCCGACGCGGGGTACGCCGCGGTGACGACCGCCGACCCGTCCTTCTCCGTCTCGGCGCTCGCCGCGCCGCCGCCAGACGCGCCCGCAGGAGCCGGCTCGCCCTCGTTCTCCTTCTCTTTCGCCACCGCGCATCCCTCGAACGGACCCAGCGCGCGCACGACGATATACACGCCGTCTGCTCCTCTCAGCTCGAGCTCCGCGGTCGCGTCCTTCACCGTGAACGCGATCACCGGACAGCTCAGCCCGGACGCGGCGGCGTCGCCGCCGACGAGCCTCGAGTCGCCGAAACGCGTCGCGCGTCGCTTCAACCACGCCGCCGCGGCTGTGCGCTGCGCGGTGACCGTCTCCTTCTCGACCGCCAACTTTACCACGCGAGCGGCGTGTACGACGTCGAACGCTTCGTACGTTTTCGCGGTCCCTTGCGCCGCGCCCGTGTCCCCCGCTTTACGTTTCTTCGACGGAAGGATCGACCCGGACGTCGCGTCGAGCGCGGCGCACGAAACCACGCGCGGCTTCGACGCCGCGTTCGGTCGCTTCGTTTGAATCAACGCGAACGATGTCTTCCCCGGCTTGCCCTTCTCGTCCTCCGAGCCGACGAACACGCCGACGTAGAGACCGCCCGAGGATGGAGATATCGGCACGAGGGCCGCGAGAGGGCGCTCGGCGAGGTCGGACGGCCAAACGTCGTCGCTCGCGAGAATCGCGCGCGGGGTCTCGTGCGGTCGCATTCCCTCCGCGGCGATCGCGTCGCGCAAGTCGCGCTCGAACGCGGCTCTTCGCATCTTCTCGAGCAGCGGCTGAATCGCGTCGACGCCGCTCTTGAGCAACCTCGCCGCCGCCGCCGCCGCCACCGCGGGGGACACGAGCCCGCCCGCGCCGCACAACGACAGCTTCCCGCTTCGCTTCGAACACGAGATGGACACGACGTAGTTCCCGCTCGCGCCCAGGTTCGCGACGATCGCGGGGCGTCGCGCGATGCCCCACCCGTCCTCGTTCTCGCCGAGGTCGTTCACCGCGTCGGGGTCGAACGTCACGGTCAACCCGGCTTGTTTACACGGCTTCGCGACCGCTTTCAACGCGGCGTTGAGCCGCGCCGTCGCCGCCGCGCGCATGCCGTCCTCCAGCAACCTCCGAACATCCACCGTCGCGGTGTCGAACGTCAGCTCCGTGGTTTCCACTTCCGGCGGGGAGGTCGCCGCCTCGCCGTCCTTCCCCGCGGCGGGTGCGGGCGCGGGCGAGGCGTCCGACGCGGGCACCGCCGCGGTCGCGGCGATGACCCCGCTCGAGCTGTCGTTTTCATCCGCGGCGGTGTACACGACGTCCACCCTCGGGAGCGTCCCCGCGGCGACGGCCGCGTCCACGGCCGCGGTGGTCGCGGCCACGGCCTCGACGGACCCGACGCCGACGCCCGCGAGCTGCGTCCCGGTCCCGTGCCCGGCGGAACGTTCCGGGATCCAGAACCACATCCGGACGCCTTTGCCTCCGCCAAACTTTGTCGCCGCCGCGTCGTTCTTTATCGGCTCCGTGCGGATCCCCCCCCCGGTCCATCGCTTCGCGCTGCCGCTCGCGAGCCGCTTGGACTGTTCCATCACCGCCGCGGCCGCGAGTTTCAGCGCGGCGCCGTGACAGACGTAGTGCAGCCCGTTGAGGCTTTGCGCGCCGCCTTCGACGCGTTCGGGCGGCGCCGGCGGCGGAGGGCTCATCCCGGCCATCCTCGCCGTGGAACGCTCGCTCAGGACCCTCGTCTCTTGCGCGGATAACTCGAACCGTCGCGTCTCGTCCGTGTCGACGTCTCTCTCCCCCACGAGTATCTCGATCCGCTCGACGAGCCAACCCCCGAGAGGCGGCGGCGGCGGCGGCGGCGGCGGCGGCGGCGGTTCCTCGCCCTCCGCCGGCTCCGGCGGCGGCGGCGGCAGCGGCGGCGGGCCCCCCAGCGTCAGCACCGCTCGGTACTCCCCGGGGACGCCGACGATCGCTTGGCCGCGGGATATCTCCCACACCTTCATCGCGCGCGGTTTCGTCCCGCCGGTCGCTACCCCGGCCTCGACCTCGAGCAGCCTTCCTCGAATCTCCGCGTTGAATCTTTTCTCTCTGTCCTCCTTCGCTCTCTGTTGCTTCGCCTCCTCCGCGACCTGCGCCTCGGTCTTCGGCGCCCCCTCCCTCGCCGCCGCAGCCTTCGGCGCGTTCTTGACCTCCTCAAACGCCGCGTGCGGCATGTCCGTGTACCGCCCGCGGCACAGCACGTCGAGCGCCCCGGGGAGATCGTACAGCGGCGCTTTCGCCCACGCGAGCTGCGAGTGCAGGGCGAACAACCGATCCGCGCCGTCCGTGAACGCCGCGTCGTGTTGCGCGAGCTGCCCGAGCATGTCCCCGCACGTCACGCTGATCTGCGCGCGTCGCTGCACCGGCGCCCATTCCGCGATCGCGCCGAGCCGCGCGAGCCGCTGCTTCGTGACGTGAAGGAACCGCGCGAGCTCGCGTCGGCGATCGGGCTCCGGTTGCCCGGGGAGCGCGTTCGCGAGGGACGTCAGCTCCCCGTACGACGCGTGCACGACGCGGTCGACGAGCTCGGTGAGGGAGACCGTCGGGGTGTGCCTCGGGAGGCCCTGCATCGCGCCGGACCCGCGATGCGACCGCGCCACCCCGCGCGGCGCCACCTGAGACGCGCGCCCCGCCCCCGGCTTTCCCGCGCTGCATGCATTATTTTCGACTGCGGAGGGCCATTCCTCACAGACTACAAAAAATGTTCATCGGTCAGTTGAAAGGGGATGCGATCAAATGTTGAAACCGAGGGTGGGTGAAAAACGTTTGCGAAAAACTTCCCTGATTATTTTCGTCGACTTCTTCGACAGCTCGTCGACAACAACAACAGACATCGAAGGTTTCGGAAGATCTCGCGATCGCGCGCGCATTCACACGCGCACACCGCACGAAAGGTTCACTACCCGAACGATCGCCATGGAAAGCACCGGCGTCAGAACCATCGACCACATGGAGGTCGAGTACGAGGACCTCGACGTCGGCCAGGAAGCGGACGTCTCGATCGCGAAGGACGGCGGTTGCATGAAAAAAGTCCTCGCGAAAGGATCCGGGGACGAGCGCCCGCAGATCGGGAACGAGGTCACCGTCCACTACACCGGCACGCTCCTGGACGGCACGAAATTCGACAGCAGCGTCGACCGCGGGGATCCGTTCAAGTTCAAGCTCGGCGTCGGGCAGGTCATCAAAGGCTGGGACGAAGGCGTCGCGTCGATGCGCAAGGGCGAGAAGGCGATCTTAACGTGCACGCCCGAGTACGCCTACGGCGCCGCCGGGTCCCCGCCCACGATCCCCGCGAACAGCACGCTCAAGTTCGAGGTCGAGCTCTTCTCTTGGACGAACGATAACGACTTGTACAAGGACGGCGGGATCGTCCTCGCGAAGACGCTGAAGAAAGCGGACGGGTACACGTTCGCGAAGGAGAGGGACGAGGTGAAGGTGACGTACTCCGTCGCGGCGTCGGATGCGGACGTCGTCGGCGGCGGCGACACGATCGTTCCGTCCACGGAGGCGGAGTTTGTGGTCAAGGACGCGCCGTTCGACGGCATGCGCGCTCTGCTCGCGAAGATTAAGGAGGGCGACTCCGGGATTTACAAGATGAAGAATGTCCCGGGAGGACGGCAGTACTGCGCCGGGTTGCCGGGCGACCCGCAGAGCGCGGACGTGACCGTGACCTTGAACAAAGTCATCACCGTCGAGCCGATCTGCGGCGGCGCGGGGTCGAAGAAAGCGACGACGGAGGGCGAGGGGTACGAGCAGCCGAACGATGGCGCGAGCGTCACGATCTCGTACACCGTCACGCTCGACGACGGGAAGCACACGCTCGTGGATTCGCAGAGCGAATTCACCTTTGAAACCGGGAACGAAGCCGTGCCCGCGGGGCTCGAGGAGGCGGTCATGCGCATGAAGAAGGGCGAAGTCGCGGAGGTGAAGGTCCCCGCCGCGTTCGCGTACGGTGGCGACGGCGCGACGCTGTCCAAGGGCGTCGTCCCGCCGAACACGAACGTCGTCTACAACGTCACGCTCTCGGCGTTTGAGAAGGAAAAAGAGACGTACGAGATGTCCACGGCGGAGAAGCTCGAGGCGTGCGAGAAAGTGAAAGGCGCGGGGAACGACGCGTACAAGAGCGGGAAGCTCGAGCTCGCGTTCAAGAAGTACGACAAAGCTATGCGGTACGTGGAGTACGACTCGCAGTTCACCGACGACGAGAAGAAAGCCAGCAAGAAGCTGAAGCTGTCGATTCACTTGAACACCGCCGCGGTCGCCATCAAGGACAAGAAATACTCCAAGGCGCGCAAGGCTTCGGGCGAGGCGCTCGACATCGAGAGCGGGAACGAGAAGGCGCTGTACCGCCGCGCGCAAGCGGCGACGGAGCTCGAGGAGTACGACGAAGCCGAGGCTGACGTGAAGAAGCTCATCGAGAACGACGAGGGGCACAAGGAAGCCCGCAACCTGCTCGCGAAGATCAAACGCGCGAAGCATGCGCAAGCGAAGAAGGACGCCAAGGTGTTCGGCGGCATGTTCAGCAAGCTCGGCGGGCTGTACAAGGAGGAGCCGAAGATCAAGGAGGTGGACGTCAAGGCTGCGGCGGCGGACGCGCCGATGGATCCGGTCGACATCGGGAACGGGTTCCAAATGGAGGAGATCACGGACCCGGAGCCGGACATGCCGACCCTGGAGCCGGAGGTCCCAGCCCCGGAGGGGATCGACACCGCGTAAACGGAAGAGCGTTTGGTCGACGTCAGACGCGACGCGACGCGCGGATAACATGCTCGCACGCCGCGCGCGGTCATCGCGCGCGGTTCTAATCATTTCATTTCAATACGATAATACGATTCGAATCGTCGTGACATTACGTTATCGCTTCGTCGTTCGTCTACGCTACGCTAGTCTATGCTTCGTTCTACTCGATCGTCGTTCGTGAGTCGTTCGATCGTTCATTCGCGGACGTGTTCGTTTAATCCTCGTCGCTGTCGCTGAGAACGACGACGCTGTCGCTCGTCTTCGGCGTCGCCGGCTTCTTCGCCGGCGACATGAACGCCTTGATGCCTTCCTGACGCATCCTTTTCGTAGGAGACACGAGCGGCGAGGAGGGTAGGGAAGACCCGCCGCCGCCGCCGCCGCCGGCCGCGGCGGTCGCCCGCGCCCTCGTCTCCGGCGACGGAGGCGTCACGAGGTCTACAACTTCCACGGAGTCTCTCCGTTCACGCGCGCGCTGCGCTGGGGTCGGAGACGCAAACTCTTGCGACGATTTAACCTCGTCGTCGCCTACGCCCGCCGCCGCCGCCGCCGCCGCCTCCACCGGCGGCGGCTTCTTCCCTGTCGTCGGGTACCCGTACTTTTCCCGGTACGAAGTCAACCCGCCGGTGAGCAACTCCTCGGAGCCCTCCGAGCCGACGGACAGCGGCGACGTGACGTGCGCGTCCGCTTTAATCAACACCGGCGTTCTCAGCGCTTCCGCGATCGACGTCGCCGCCGGCGCGTCCGGGAAGAGCGTCTTACGCGACCGCATGAACCCTGTGATCGCGTGTTGCGTCGGGGAACGCTCGCGCGGGATCCCCCGCGGCGTCGTCTTCCGCGGCGTCGTCTTCCTCGGCGTCGGCGTCTTCGGGTCCACGCGTTTCACCCCCGGGGTTTTTCCGCCCATCCCCTTGCCTTTCGTCTTCGTCTTCGGCGTCGGCGGCGCTTCGAACGCGGCGACGAGCTCGGGGAAGGCCTCGCGAATCAACCCCATTCTAACGCTGCGGTGCGGTCGGTGATGGGATAAAAACTCCAAGTCGCGCGCGATTTCAGACGCGCCGAGCCCGTCTTCGTCGTCGTCGTCGTCCAGAGCGATCTCGCGCGCCCCTCCCGGGGTGTTCGCCGCCGCGCGCTTCGCTTTCAGCTGCGCTTTCAACCTCGCCGCGTTGACCGCCTCGTTCGGATCGACCGCGGCGATCTCGAGGAGGTGCCGCCACCTGCGGCCGACGCCTCTGTGCCCCGCGACTTTCGTGATCGATGCCGCGGTAAACTCCAACCCCGCGGACGGCGCCCCGGTCACCGCCGCGGCTCGAATGTCCCACTCCAGGAGCACGGGAAGCAGCTTCTCCCGCGCGCGCCGATCGGGGATGTCGCACAGCGCGAGGATCTCGGACACCGCCGCGGTGTCCGGCCGCCGCGTCCACGCGAGGCGCGAAAACGACCCGCCGCCGCCGCCGCGGCGCGCGGCGGCGACGTCTCGCGCGCGCGGCAACGCCGCCGCCGCGATCGACGCCTGCTTCGCGTACGCCTTCGCCGCGCGCTGGAAGCTCCCGCCGACGTACCCTTCCGTCGCTTTCGCGCGCCGCCGGACCTTATCCATCCACCGTAAGTCCTCGGTGCTGTGAAACGCACACTCGCACGGGCCGTCGCGTTCGACGCACCCGCTCTCGGTCCCGCAAGCCTCGCATCCGTGGACGTGCCGCTGCTTCTTGCACTTCCCCCCGCCCTCGTGCTTGCACCGCACGCACCCGGTGCAGCCGCGCTTGCCGATGGCCTCGAGGTCGTCGTCCGCGGGAGCTTCCAGAAACGCGTCCAGCCGCCGCGGGAGCGTCGTCGTCGACGGCCGCAACCCGGGGCTGCCGCTTTTCCGCCGCTCGCGCGCATCCTCCGCGGCGAGTCCCTTCACGACCCTCGACGCGAGCGCGCTCCCCACTCGCTTCGCGCCGTCCGGGTCGTAGTCCCCGCCCGCGAGCAGCGCGAGCGCGACGAGCGCGTCGCTCACGCCCTCGTGCTCGTCCCCGGGGAGCCGCATCGTTTCCCGTAACCACGACGCTTCGCACCGTTCGATCCGCGACTGCTCCGGGGCGTCCGCGAAGAGCTTGATCGTTTTGAACTGCACCCTCGCGCCGAACAACAGCGCGTCGCCGTCCGAGGTGGCGCATCCGTCGACGAGCCCCGCGGCGTTCATCGCCGCGCACGTGGCCTCCGCCTCCCCGGGGGCTTCCACCGCGGGTAAACCCAACGCCCGCAGCGTTCGCGCGGCGACGTCGCCGAGTCGTCCGAAGACGCCGCCGCCGCACCCCGTGGCGCCCATACCGTGTCGCTGTTTCATGCGCGCGAGTTTCTCTGGCGGCGGGACGCCGTCGATGACGCCGATCGGGATGCACCCGTGCCGGAGCCAGTTCGCGGCGCGCTCGAACACGACCTTCGCGACTTGCCCTTCCGGGGTGAACAGCTCCGCGGTGGCTGGCTGCGACGTGGCCTGGAAGATCCACTCCGCTAAGTCTACGGCGAGCACCTTGCCCTCGACGCGGTCGCGTATCGACGGATGCGCGTTCTCGTCCGACGCATCCGACGCGTCGATGACTTCGACGACGCCATGGTCGTTCAGGAGCGACCTGTGACGTGGGGAGGGGGCGGGGGGTCGGGGACGCGCGTCGGGGATCCGGCGTTTTTTCTCCCGGGGGAACGCAATTTGGGCACCCAGAGGTGAACTCGAGAAAGCGCGCGCGGGGAGGGGTCGCGGCGTCGATACGATCTATACGATCGCGTTCGCGCACCATAAGTTCGTCACCGTCATCTCCGTAAACGGAAAACGAAACGAGCGCTCTCCTCCTCGTCCGAGCCCCGCGGGGACGCAATGACGCGCGCGCGCGGACGCAGATTCGTTTCGTCCCGGGACTTCGGGACGCGATCTCGAGCACTCTTCTGCAGAGAAGCGTCCTCGTCGGATAAAACGACACGGCGTTTACGAAACCTAAAGCGCGCACTTCGACGCGCGCGCGACGCACGCCAGCTCACCACCCACCACCCTCCCTCACCCCGACTCGTCGAAATGGGCGCCGGACAGTCCACCCCCGCGGACGTGCTCGCGGTCAGAGATCAGCCCGTGAACTACGTCCCCCCGCTCGAGGTGAACCCCGCGAACCCGAAAGTATACTTCGACCTTCAGCTCGGGCGATACGGCGACGCGACGCCGATCGGACGCGTCGTCATGGAGCTGAAGGAGGACGTCACGCCGAAGACCGCGGAGAACTTCAAGCAGCTGTGCCTCGCGGACGAGGGCGCCGGGTACAAGAAGAGCCGGTTCCACCGGGTCATCCCGCAGTTCATGTGCCAAGGCGCGTGAACCTCGTCGATCGATCGTTCGATCGATCGACCGATTGATCGACGCGTCCCCGAGCGCGATTGGATCGGACGGACGAAGATTGTTCACCGCCCCCTCGCCCCCTCGGCCGCGGTCCGCTTACCGTACCGCTCTCTCCTCCCTCCCCTCACCAAATCCAGGCGGCGACTTCACGAACGATAACGGCACGGGCGGGAAGTCCATCTACGGCCGAACCTTCCCCGACGAGAACTTCACTTTACCGCACAACGGCCCGGGGGTTCTCTCCATGGCCAACGCGGGACCGAACACGAACGGGTCGCAGTTTTTCCTGTGCACGACCGCGACGCCGTTCCTGAACGGCAAGCACACGGTCTTCGGTCAGGTCGTGGAAGGGTACAACGTCGTGAAAGCCGTCGAAGCGTGCGGCAGCAGGAGCGGCGACACGTCCGGGGACGTCATCATCGGCGACTGCGGCGTCGTCGCGCACGCCGGCGCCGCCGGAGGAAAGCGCCGAGCCGCGGGGTCCGGATCCGCCGCGCGCGGGTACCACACCGCGGCGGCAGCGGCGGCGAGCGCGCGGTTGTCTGCGCGCGCGCACGTGGCACGTGGGGTCATGCGCGCGGCGCCACGTGCGGCGCGCGCGGTTCCGAGGTTCGGGAGGGCTCTCTCCGTGATGTCCCGCGCCGTGGTCGCGTGACGCCGTACGCGAGAAGCAGCCGCGCGAGGGTCGACGCGTCGTTCGCGAAACGCTCGAGCGCTCGCGCTCGCGCCGGCGTTCGAGTCGTCTCTCTCTTTGTGTGCTCTCTCTTTAACACGATATTTGAATGCTACGACGGCTACGGTACTACTGTTCGACGACTCCCCTGCGCGGCGCGTCGCGTCAGAGCCCCGGGACGTCCAGTCGAAGGAAAGACGCGATGGCGTTCACGTCCACGTCGGCCCCCGCGAGCGTCCCGAGCGGCTCTCGCATCCGCGCCGTGCCTCTCCACGGCTCACTCCACGGCCCGCCGCCTACCTCCACGGCGGCGACGTCGGAGCGGACGTCGTCTAAGAGTGTCTCCACGCGCGCGCCCGTGGACGGGTCTAACTTCCACATCGACATCGACATTCGTCCGCGGAAACTCTCGCGACACAGCGGCGCCATCCCTTTGTCGACGTCGTCCATCGGCGCCCGAAGGACGGTCGTCTTCCCGACGACCCCCGCGTCCTCGGCCGTGTCCGCCTTAACGACAACCTCCCGCGTCGGCGTCTTCGCGGTGACTCGCCATCGTCCCCACGTGTCGACGTCCCAGATCACCTCCGCGGCGGGCGACCCCCCCGCGCCCGTCACGGGGGCGAACGGAAGAAACGATCCGTCCGGCAGGTGCACGAGCACCGCGGCGACTTCCTCTCTCACCCCGGGAAGCAACACGACGCCGCGGTTACCCCCGGTCGCGGTCACGCTCAACCCCGGAGCGCCGTGAAACGCGTTGCACTGGCACCAAAACCATCTCGACGGGAACCCGGCGCCGCCCCAGTTCTTCTCCGAGTACGCCGGCGCGTTCGTAAACTCCGTCCGCGCGCCGTCGTGCTCGATCCACCCGCTCGCGAGCCCGTGCGCCATCGTGACCTGGTAGTGCGGCTCGAACACGGGCAGGGACGATAACCAGCCCGCGAGGGAAACATTATCGACGTCGTCCGCGCGGCCGCCGTATCCGAGGACCGGGCGGACGGCGATGTCCCACCGCGCCTCCGAGACGCACTTCTCCCGGGGCCACACGGAGTGATCCTCGAGGGGTCCCGCGGACGACTTCGACTTCGAGAGGCGGCCGCGGTGTCGTCTGCCGTCGTCCGTGATCTCGAAGAATTCCTCGTCGGCCGTGCCGCCGCCGCCGCCGCCGCCGTCGCCGTCGCCGCCGCCGCCGAGGGTCATCCGAAGAGCCAACGCGTGCGGATCTCCCGAGAACGCGTCGACGTCGGAGGACTCCCGGTAGATGTATCCCCCGCCCGGGGTGCACGCCTGCGCGCCCGCGCCGCGTCGCGTGCTGCTCGTCAAGTCTGGGTCGTAGACGTGATAAATCAGGCTGAGGTTGTCCCGCGTCTCCGGGAGCGTCACGCGGAAGTACCACCCCTCGAAGAACGGACGCGGGAATCCTACGATTCGGTGGTACCCGCTGTGAGGCACGGTCGCGTTCCCTCCGCCGTCCTTGGCCGCCGCGCGCGGTGTCGATATCCTCGTGGAACGCGCGCGACGCGCGCGATGGACGAACCCAGCGCACGCCGCGGCCGTCGTCGCCATCGCGCGCGGCGCCGCGCGGCGATCGTGTGATCTGAGACTGGCGTCAAACGTCGCGTCAAACCATTTGTTAACACCGCGAAAAAAATCGACTCGCCTTCCGCCGCGGCGGCGCATCCCCGAGCCGCGTCCACGCGCGACCCACGGAGCCTACACTACTTCTGTCGCTCTACAACGACGCTATGATGCTACGTCTAGTCACGTCACCCGGTCCGTCGGCGCGCGCCATCCCGGCGGCATCGCGAACGGTCCTCTCGCGCCGCTTTTCGTCCCCCGCGGCGGCGCGGGCCACGGCCAATCCTCTCGACCCTCCGGCGCCGCCGCCGCCGAGTCTTTACCACCCTCGCCCTCCCTCGGGATCCACCACACCGCGGTCTTCGCGCCCTCGCACCGCAACTCGCACGCGCGCGTCTCCCCGGGCGCCCTCGCCATGAGATGACGCACGAGCGCGTCCGTCGTGCGCACGGGGGCGACGCCGGCGACGGGGTCCGCGCGCGTCGGATACAATTTCGGAAACACGCAACACGGGACAACCGCCCAGGGCTTGTTCAAAACCAACCCCGCGTCCACGATCGCGCCCGTGGCCTGGTCCGGGTGGAGACCAACGATCGCGGAGCACTCGCGGAGCAACCTCGCGAGCGCGGCGTCGCGCATGACGGTGTGATCGAACGAACGCTTGACGTGCTCGACGCTTTCCGGGACGCGCCGGCGCCACTCGGCGCGGAGTCCCCTCGCGAGCGGCGACGCGGCGGCCCACGCGTCGTCGATCATCGCGCCGTTCTCCGCGCGCGACCGCAACAGACGCTTGTGCTTGGACGTCAACACCACGCCGCTGCCGCGCGGATCGATGATCGTGCACGGGACGCCCCATCGCGTGGTGAGCTCGAACGCGAGTTCGCCGCCGCCGCCGGCGACGTCGACGACGCCGGCGCCCAGACGCAACGTCTCGACGCCGAAGCGTTCGACGAGGAGCGCCGCGAACGATGACGCGCGGTTGTCCTTCTTTATCTTGTGCCAGTGCGTCTTCTTCTTACCGCTATCCTTTTTCGACGGTTCCGGTTCCGGGTTCGACGTGTTCTCCGCGTCGACGACGGTCGCGTCGTCGACGTCGGCCGCGCGCGGCGTCGCGTCGCCGTCGCCGTCGCCGTCGCGCGACGCGTCCGCCGCCGCCGCGACCCACGTCCGCCATCCCTCCTCGCCGTCCGCCCTTCCTCTCTTCCGGACCCTCAGCTCGGTCGGGTGGAGGCAACATCGTGGGGGCGCCCCGCCGCTCGCACCGCCGCCGCCGTCGCCGCCGCCGCCGCCGCCGCCGCCGCCGCCGCCGCCGCCGTCGTCGGGTCCGGCGTCCAGCGTCTCGGTGACGCACGCGAGGATCTCAACCTCCGTCGTCCCGAACGAGGCGCCGCCCTTCGCGTCGTCCGCGCCGAACCTCGGGAGTCCGAGGTCGTCGCACAGCTCCGCGAGAAGCTCGCGGCCCCACCCGTCCTTCGCCGCGAGGACGACGTCGACGACGTCGTCCGCGGACGCGAACGCGCGCGGACGCGATTTTTCAGAGGCGGCGTCCGCGTCCGCGTCGTCCGCGACGACGTCGGGCGTCCCGAGATGGTCGTCCCTCGATCGACGCGCGTCGAGCGTGCACGCGGCGAAGTGCTTGCTGAACGCGGCGCCGTGGCGCACGATCCCGCGCGTCCCGGACATCGCGGCGTCCTCGCGAGCCCGGGCGCGGACGCGACGCGCGGCGCGACCCCGCCGTCGACGCCGTCCGGCGCTCCCCGACACTGGGACCGCATAATTTTGTTCACCCTTCCTGTCTGCCTGTCCGAGCCTGCACTGATGAGGGCCATTCCATACAAAAAAAGTTCACCGGTCAGTTGAAAGGGGAGGCGATCAAGTGTTGAAACCGGGATATGGGTGAAAAACTTTTGTAAGAACGCAGCGCGCCTGATGATGAGGCCAGCGAATCTGGGATCTTATCTCGGTCTGCACCGCATGCCGAGAGCCAAGACGAGGGCCGCCGCGCTGCCGCCGCACAACACGACGACGCCACATATCACGCCGATCGGGATCGCACAATGTCGCGCGCGTGCGCGTCGGTGAGCGCGAGCGCCGCGCGCGTCCTTTCGCGGCACGAACCTCGCGCCGCGCGAGGCGGGACCGCGTCCGGGAGCGATCGTCCCGGATCGAAGTTCGCCCTCCCGTCGGAACGTCGCCGGCGCATGCGATGCGACGCGGAGGGTTTCGCCGCGATCGGTCGGCGCGACGCGCGGACGCGAACGAGCGCGGCGTCGTCCTCGTCCTCGTCCACGGTCGCGAAGTACATGATCCCCGTGATCCCGCCGTCGCAGCTCGAGGAGGAGTACGTGCTGGGGACGCGCAAGGAGCGCGCGAACTGGTTCCCCGTCGCGTTCGCGGACGAGCTCGACGACAAGACGATGATCCCGTTCGATCTGTTCAACGTCCCGTGGGTCGCGTTCCGCGACCAGGACGGCATGGCGGGGTGCATCAAGGACGAGTGCGCGCACAGGGCGTGCCCGATATCCCTCGGGAAAGTCGTCGAAGGACGCGTGCAGTGCCCGTACCACGGGTGGGAGTACACCTCGGGAGGGGAGTGCAAGAAGATGCCGTCGATAAAAAACCTCCTCCCGAACGTCTACGTCGACGCCGCGCCGATCGTGGAGCGCGACGGGCTGTTATACGTGTGGGCGGGGGTGTGGGAGCCGGAGAGGGCGGAGGAGATATTGAGCGAGCTCCCGCCGAGCGCGGCGACCGCGCCGCCGAGCGGGTTCGCCGCGATGGCTGAGGTCACCGTCGACGTCCCGCTCGACGCGCCCGCGATTTTGTCGCGACTGATGGACGTCAAAGGGCACGAGGTCGGGTTCGACGGAAGAGCGAGGCAGGAGAACAAGGTGCCGTTCACGCGCGTGGACACGACGACGCTGAGCGACGACGTCTTCCCGAAGGTGATCGCGAAGGTGTTGCGGGGGTTCGGTAAGCCCGCGCCGAAACGCGTGGAGTTCACCCCGGCGTGCATACTCGACAGCACGATCGGTCTGGACGGCGTGGGCGGACAAGACTGGAACGTGCATCAGACGCACGTCGTGTTACCCTCGCGGCCCGGGAAGGCGCGGGTGTTGTACCGCCTCTCCGTGGACTTTGTCGTCGGCGCGGAGATCGCGCGGACCGTGGGCGGGCAGGTGTGGCAGAACCTCGCGGAGATGATCCTCCAAGAGCAGCTCGAGGGGATCCGGGGGGGGAGGTTCGAGGACGACAGCGTCGGGGAGCAGGCCGCGGACGTGTCGCAGAGCTACGACGAGTGGATGGAAGAGATCCAGGCGCCGCGGTGAGGTGTCATCGACGCGCCGTTCGCGGATCGGCGGGGAAGCCTTTAGCTATTATCTTATTTCGCGGAGGGGGGCTTTTTAATACGAAACCCACTTTTTCCCACGACGACGACGACGTCTTCTACTCGTGCTCCTCCTCCTCACTTCCGCTTCTTGAATTTCTCGGATATGTACGACGTCACGAACGACAGCATCGGCTTCTTAAAGTACGTCGTGTCGTACGCCGACGACGCGAGGTCCCAGGTTTTCCCGAACGTGTGCACTCGTCTCGTCTCCTCCCCTCTCGTCTCCAACGCCCCGCCCGCGTGCGTCCACGCGAGGATGCTCCCGCGCAAGTTGTACGCGTCGTACCCGTCCTTCCGCAGCTTCTCGACGTACTGCGCGCTGCGGTACCCGATCGTGCAGTACGCGATGACTTTAACGTCCTCTCGGGAGTCCAACGCCCTTTGGTTCGCTTCGAACTTGCTCTTCGTCACCGCCCCGGCGATCATCGACACCGCTCGCTCCTGCTCCGTCCGCACGTCCACGATGACGAACGGTTTAAGGTTTCCCTTCCCGCCGCGTCGCATGAACGGGAGTTCGCTCTTGAGTTGCGCCACGGAGATGTCCGGCGCGTCGAACTTCCCCTCGAACGCGTCGCACAGGCGGTACATCTCCGCTTCTTTCCTCGCGTCCTCCGCGGCGGTCTCCGCCGACTTGGTCGTCGTCTCCGTCGTCGTCTCAGCCGCCGCCGCCGCCTCCGTCTCCTCGTTCCCCCACCGCCGCAACACCGGCACCAGCGCGCTGCCGACCATCAGCTGCATCGGATGATACACGAGCGTGGGCAGGCACAACCACGCGAGGTTCGGCGACGTCCCGAACATCGTCTTGACGAGCGGCAGTCCGAACGCGAGCGTCTTTTGCGACGCCATGAACGTCGCGGCGACGACGTCTTTCCGCGATAACCCCGCCGCGTTCCCGGCGACGAACACGGTCGTCTTGTACAGCGCGAGGAGCGCGAACAACACCGCGGTCAGCGACGCGAACTGCGACGGCGGCACCCCGAACCCGTCCCTGAACGTGTTGCAGAACGTGTTGTAGACGATGGCGAGGATGACGCCGTCGGAGACGCGTCGCAGCGCCCTCTTGACGCCGGCGCCGGTCAGCGCCGCCGCGGCTCTCGGGACCGCGCGGACGCACGCGCCGGCGACGACCGGCGCGAGAACGACGGAGCACAGCTTCGCGACCGCGTCCGCGAGGTTCACCCCCGCGCCGCCGCCGCCGCCGCCGCCGCCGCCGCCCCCGCCCAGGTACAGGAACAGCAGCGCCGGCGTCGCGACGATCCCCGCCAGATTTCCGAACACGGCGTGGAACACCGCTAGGGACACCGACCCCTCCGCGGCGCTCGTCAGCGCGACGCCGCTGCCGATCGTCGTCGGGAGGCACGCGAGGACGATGAGTCCGTCGACGAGCGCGGGGGTGAGAAGGTCGAGGGCGAGCAGCGCCGGGGCGAGGACGCGCGCGACGACGACGCCGGCGAAGCCGAAGATGAAGAATTGGACGAACAGGTTCGCGCGCGCGTTCGTCGCCGCGCGCGCGAGTTCTGACGTCGGGAGGTTCATCCCCGCGATGAGAAACATCGCGCGCACGCCGATGGCGTTGACCGTGAGCTCAGGGCGCAGAGGGCCGCCGGTGCAGCCGATGTGCGGCGCGACGGAAGCCAACGCGATGGACGTCAGCAGACCGAAGACGAAGTAGTTGTCCGCCGCGAACGCGAGGACGCGCGCGAGGACGGGTTTATTAGGTCTCGCCGCCGTCGCGTCGGACGCGTCGTCGGACGCGTCGTCGTTCACGGGAGCGGGCGTGGACGCGCTCGCGGCGCGGGGCTCGCCGCGAGTCGCGCGGCGCCGCGCGATCGCCATCGACGAGCGCGGCGAACGATCTCGACGATTCGTCGGCACCCGCGGCTCGCGGGGCGACGCGGACGTCGCCGGTCGTCGCGCGGCTCCGCTCGCGCGTCCGCGGCGCTCGATGCGTTCGGTCCTCGGCCTGGGAAAGACGCGGCGAGGAAGCACACGCGTCGACGCGCGGTGCATGCGGCGACGGCGCGGCGTCTCGCGGAGTGGCGCTAGGCTACTAGGGGGCGGTGCGGAAGTGGACAACTGGATTATTCCACCTGACGTCGGAACGTCCGATCAGAGAAGCGCGCGCGGCGGCCGCGTCCACGCGCGGCCGGGTTCGTCCCATCCTAGCTAGATCGTCGCGTCCTCACAGTAGGCACGTCTCGACGAACGACGCGCGCGCGCTCTCCGACGCGATCATGGGGCGGATCAAGCAGTACTTCGTCGACCAGGGCCTCACCCCGGCGGACATACCGAAGGCGTTCATCTTCCACGAGGTCATAAGCGTCGCGTTCGCCGCGTTCACGTGGAGCACGTGCTACGCGATACAGCCGTCCGTGACGCTCATGACGCCGCTCTCGAAGCTCCCGATCGCGTCCAAGGCTGCGGGCGCGTTCGATAAAGCCCTCGCGTTCAGCGACAAGAAGGTCGCGAGCATGGGGTGGCTGAAGAAGGTGCCGCTCGTGAAGAACGCCGCCCCGCGGAGGCTGACCGTGTCCTTAGCGGAGTCTCTGATGTTCCGCGGCGCGGTGAAGCCGATCACGTTCGGGGGGAAGTTATATCTCTCGTACCAGTTCGTGATGTGGGGGAAAGACCGAGCGCGGCAGAAGGCGGAGAAGAGCGGGAAGGACGTCGCGGACGGGAAGAGGAAGAAAAAATCCAAGAGATCCGAACCCGCGTCGTTGACGTTGTCGACGTCGACGCCCGGCGGGCTCGTCACCGCGTGAGGCGCGCCGCGACGGACGTGGAAGGCGCGCGTCGACGTAGAATATCGATATCTAATCTCGCTCGAGTGATGATTACAGTCATACACTACATACGGTGTGACGACACTCAGACGTCATCAATCCCAGTCGTACGACGTCGGCGTGACCTTCTCCTTCGTCATCACGAGCATGAAATTATTCGCGGGCATCTCGACCGTCTCCGTCGGGGTCAAGCCCGCGTCGCGCCCGAGCTGCTCCACGGCCTCGATGTCCCGATACCCCCACTCCGCGTTCTGGCTCCTGAGGCTCGCGTCGAACGTCGCGTTCCCCTCGGACGTGTGCTCTCCGTTCCTCTTGAACGGCCCGTAGATGAAGAGCTTCCCGCCGACTCTCAACGCGTCTCCGGCGCCGGCGACGAGCCCTTTCGTCGCCGCGTACGGGGAGATGTGCGTCAGGTTGACGGCCAGCACCGCCGTGAACGTGCCGTCCTTCACGAGCATGAAATTATTCGATCCCTCCATCTCGATCGTCTCCGTCGGGGCGAGCGAGCTGTGCCGCATGTTCATCTCCGTGCACGGCATGTACCAGTCGTCCGCGACGTCCATCTCTAACGCGTGGGATACGTTTTTAATCCCTCTCGTGTGATGATCCACCGCGTCGAACGCGTCCGTCCCCAAGTCCGTGGGCTGCCACCACAGGTTCGGTAACAGCGGCGCGCAGTGCGCGGCGTGCTGCCCGGTCCCGCACGCCACCTCTAAGATCACGCCGCTCTTCTCCTCGCCGAGGTATCGCGTCAGCACCGCCGCGATCGGCTCTTTGTTTCGCTCCGCGGCGGCGGACGACGCCACCTTGTTGAAGTTCCCGAAGTCGTTCGGGACGGACCCGGGAGGCGCGGGCGCGTCCTTCGGTCGCTCCCCGGGGGCGTCGCGGCCTAACGTCGCGTTGATCGGCTTCGTAGGTTTCGGAAGAGGGATCATGATGCGACGGCCAGGGCGCGGCAGCAAGACCCGGCGCAGCGCGAACATCGAATGAACACGCGGACGCCGAAGACTGATGAGCTTCACAACTCAAAAAACGTTGTTGACATCTGTTCAGATCCTCGCGCGCGGGACCCCCTCGCGCACGGCGGGCGA